AGTTAATCCAATCCCCTGAATACTGACATTATGCAGTTTCCATAAAAGAAGGCAGAATAAAAAGGGAGGTGTGAACGAAGAGAGGTAGTAAGAGAGAGAAAAGAGGAAGATATGTGATCCTGAAGAAATTCATGTAAAAATAACTGAAACTATGAGTACAACAGAGAGGTCCAAGTCAAAGTAAAATAATTGTGAGTACCCTTAAATTCACCTGAAAATACATCCTTCTGGCTATGATGATAACAAAATTTCCACATCCAGGGAGATGTGCAGGGAGCGAGATAGGGAAGTGAGAACCTGTTGATTCTCCTTGACATCTCAGCATCTTTCAGCACCATTGATCGTGGTGTCCTTCTGAACAGCTTGGCTGAGATAGAAGTCGGAGGCACTGTGCTGCGGTGGTTCTACTCTTACCTGGTTGGACATGTCCAGAGGGTGGTGCTGAGGGACAGCAGCTCTGATCCATGGCCTTTACACCATGGGGTTCTGCAGGGCTCTCTGCTCTCTCTCATGCTTTTTAGAATTTTCATGAAACTGCTGGGAGAGGTCATCAGGAGGTCTGGACTATGGTCTCAGCAATATGCTGAGGACACTTTGCTCTGCCTCTCATTTTCATCTGATCCAGGTGAGACATTTGATGTGCTGAACTGATATCTGGACTCACTAATGGACTGCATGAGGTCAGCAAACAACAAACTGAAACTTAATCTGGACAAAACTGAGGTGCTGTTAGTAGGGGGAGCTGCCAGACAGAATGAAGGGGCATTTCCCTGGGGTCACACTACCCCTCGGGGACAGGGTTTGTAGTTTGGGGGTGCTCCTGGACTCTGGTCTGTCCTTGGAAGCATAGTTTGGCAGGCACCCATTCCCTGGTAACATTCCAAAGATTACTGCAATGCTCTTTCCATGGGGTTGTTATAATATTATAACACAGGGGTCCTCAAACTTTTTTAATAGGGGGCCAGTTGAAAGGTGCCAGCGATGGGCGCAGGCCACCAAGGTGGTGCAGGTGAGGGTACGTGTGTGGCGAAGTGCCAGCTTGCTCTCAAGGAGAATGTTTTCTCTGAGCGAGTCCAAAAGGATCTCCTTGAGAGCAAACCTATCCCAAAGGCTTGGAAAGACTTATTCAAATACATGGTAAGAGCAGCAAGAGAGAGAATTGCCTCAAAGTGGAAAACTGAAGACTGCTCAGCTGTCGAACATTGGAAAATCAAGCTAGATGAGCATGCACCAATGGCAAAGCTACCTGATGATGTCCACAGGAGACCAGTTAAAGAATGTAGTCAAATGTACTATGAACACTTTGAGGGTAAAGTTGCTCCTACTCGTCTTGATTTGGACACAACAGTTATCCCAGTGCCATCAGCAGAGTCATCCAATGTGCCATCTGGTCCAATTTTACTGGATGAGTTTCAGCTTTTGTGGCTCAAGGATGTGGACAAGGTGCTGGGTAGTGTCCTTGCCACAACTTGTTCGCTCAATCCTTGCCCATCTTGGCTATTTGAGAGATCAATATTTGAGAGGTCTTGTCCCTGAATCCAGGAGGTGGTGAATGCCACCTAGAGGGAGGAAGAGGTGTCTGCCCCCTTGAAGAAAGGGGTAGTTACACCACTCCTTAGAAAGCCACAACTGGATCTGGCGGACATAAATAATTATCCATCTATAGACTGGGCAACTCCAAGCAGTCTTGGAGGAAACGAATTATCTAGATCCATTTCAATCAGGCTTTAGGCCTGGGTTCACAATGGAAACTGCCTTGGTCGCCCTGTGGAATGACTTATGCCAGGACAGAGGAAGGGGGAATACAATCCTGTTGATTCTCCTGGATCTCTCAGCAGCTTTTGATACCATTGACCATGGTATTCTTCTGGAGAGGCTGGCTGAGTTGGGGGCACTGCTTTGTGGTGGTTTCACTACTGTCTTGCTCCATTTGGCAGAGCTGGGGATCTGTCACTCTGTGCCTTGGCATTTATTCCATGGAGTTCCACAGGGTTCCATTCTGTCCCCCATGTTCTTTCATCTTTACATGAAATAGCTGGGTGACGACATCCAGAGGTATGGGCTGAAGTGTCATTAGTATGTTGGTGACACTCAGCTCTACCTCTTGTTTTCATCTAACCCATGTGAGGTGGTGACTGTCCTGAACCAGTGTCTTGGCTCTGTAATGGACTGAATGAGGGCCAATATACTGAAGCTCAATCCAGACAAGATGGAGATTTTGTTGGTTGGCAGTCTGTTTGTCCAACTGAGAAATTCTCAAATCAATCCTGGATGGGGTTGTGCTCCCCCTAAAGCATAAGGTTCGTAGCTCGGGGGTGCTCCTGGACCCTGAGTTCTCCCTTGTTTCTCAGGTGGCCTTGGTGGCCAGGAGCACCTTCTATAAGCTTAGGATGATTTTCCAGCTACACTCCTACTTGGACAAGCAGAGCCCCATCACAGTTATCCATATGCTGCTATGAACCTTTCCCCTGGATTACTGTAATGCACTCTGCATAGGGCTGCCTTTGAAGATGGTCTGGGCTCTCCAGTTAATCCAAAACAGAGCAGCACAGTTACTAACAAGGATCAGCCCCAGAAAACATATCCTGCTGGTACTCCACCAATTGCATTGCCTGCCTGTCATTGCCCGGGCCCAATTCAAAGTTTTCATGTGAACATATAAAGTCTTAAACAGCTTGGGACCGGGATACTTAAAGAATGCCTGGGTTCATATATCCCTGCCAGACCACTCAGGTCATCAGTGGAGGCCCTTCTTCATGAACCTCCACCAAATGAGGTGAGAGGGCTGTTGACATGGAAAAGGGCTCTCCTGGTCATCGCACCTCACCTTTGGAATTCTCTTCTGAGGGAGGGGTGACTGGCACCCAGTGTATTTTGTATTGGTGCCAAGACTTTTTTTTAGTTTCTCTTTTTAGATGTAACTATTGGCTTGTGCAGTCGGTTAAACTGCTGAGTCACTGGGCTGGTTGATCAAAAGGTTGGCGGTTTGAATCCGCAGACAAGGTGAGCTCCCAGCTACTGCCAACCTTGCAGTTAGAAAGCATACAAATAATGCAAGTTGATAAAAAGGTACCACTTCGGTGGGAAGGTAGCAGCATTCCATGCACTGTGGTGTTTAGTCATGCTGGCCACTTGACCACAGAATCTGTTTGCAGACAAACACAGGCTCCCTAAGCTAGGAAATGGAGATGAGCACTGCTCCCTAGAGTGAGACATAACTGGACTTTAATGTCATGGGGAAACCTTTACCTTGCTGCTGGTTTACTGTTTTATTCGTTGTTGGTAATATTGCTTATGTTTACTGGTCATTGGTTATATTGTGCTTATGCTTCATCCTGTACTATTTATACAATTGCAATTATATTAATTTTAATCCTATTATGTTTTATGGTTTTGGTTGTTATTGTTATTTATTTTTATTTTTTAAGTCACCCAGAGAGCCTCTGGCTATGGGGCAGCATACAAATGCAACAAAGAAACAAATTATTTGAATGGTTAAATGAACTGATTTGATGGTTAAAGAACTATAATTTCAAAATATGTTTTCAATTACTATTCTTTACCAAAGCAATGCTACGATCTATAAAGAACTTTATAAAGTTTTTCTGGATACATTGACAGCTTAAATGGAATGGATGGGAAAGAGGTTGATAGAGAGTGTTGCTTATTATAAAAGTGCTTCAATGAGGAGCTACTGTACCTATACAGTACCTGAGCTATTTTTTAAATTTTTATTTTAATGAAAACAAAACTCATAACTGCACAAATATAAACCCTACAAATAATATAGTGAAGATAAACTTATTTAAAGAAGACAAAATTAACAGTGGTGCATCCATCAGAGTGAAGAGATACATGCTGCTTGATGTAAAATCATTTATTCATTCAAGTTACTCTACTCCCATTCCACTTCCAGAATGTCTTTAAAACATTCTTTTATTTGGGATAAACTTGAATTGGCAGCTTTTTTCAGATCTGAATTGCTAGAACTTCTTCCAGTAGGCCTGAGAGAAGTATGGCTGGAGAGTTTGAAGGGAAAAGGAAGAAGAGGGTTTATTTGGGTTCTCTGGGGAAGAAATCCCAAGGCAGCTGAGGGGTGACCAAAGTTCTGTTGGATGAGGGATGCTGCAGACACCCATCGTGAGCTCAGCATAAAGAAACCTTTCTGGAAAGGAATGCCACAAGACTCCAGGGTCCTCCTTGTGAGCAAAATGACACCTGATTGAGTGTTAGAATACCTCGAATTGATCACCACCCAATTCTGTTGCAGGAGCCTAACCATGCATGCAAGCTGATGAAGGGCTTAAGAGGGTTTTCATTTGTTTTGCTGTTTCAGGCAATCAGCCTCGCTCCAAGTCCATGTAAGCAATGGACCTTCCTCAATGCAGAGCCTCTGGAAATTACTGATTTGCATTTGAGGGACTCATTTCAGTCCAGCTGCATGTCATTCCAAACAGAGTCAGCCCATAGATAGCAGTAAAGTTTTGTCTAAAGTAAGAAGAAACTGGAAAAATTCAGAGATCACAAGATGAACTCATAAAAACAAATTATCTGTACAATCTGTCCCCTGTCAAAATATCCCCCAATGAATGAATGAATGGACGGGAGGCAGGTGGCACTGCTGTGCTGCTGCGCTGATTGATCAAAAGGTTACCGGTTCGAATCTGCACAACGGGGTGAGTTCCCGTTGCTCTGCCCCAGCTCTTGCCAACCTTGCAGTTCGAAAGCATGCAAATGCTAGTAGATAAAAAGGTACCACTTCAGTGGGAAGGTAACAGCATTCTGTGCACTTCGGTGTTTAGTCATGCCAGCCACATGACCATGGAGACTGTCTGGGGACAAACACTGGCTCTCTCGACTAAGAAATGGAGATGAGCACCACCCCCTAGAGCCAGATATGACTGGACTTAACGTCACGGGGAAACCTTTACCTTTATTTAAATACATGGACACACAGACGGATTGCAAATTGCAGCAAAAAGTACTTACATGTAAATTCCTCAAGCTGTTCTTCTTATTAAGTATTCCTTCTTGTTCAACTCAGGTTTCAGCAAAATGATATAACATTTGGGTAAGAAGATGCAAACAAGCAGTCCCGAACTGGAGGCTAAGATAGAAAAGATCTCCACAGTCACCAAGTATTTTCCTTTGGTGCTCAGGTGGGAAGGCACAAAGGATAACCAGACACTGCAAAAGACCAGCATACTGAATGTGATGAATTTGGCCTCATTGAAACTGTCTGGGAGCTTTCTGGCAAGAAAAGCCACAATGAAGGTGACACTGGCCAGCAAGCCCAGATAGCCCAGGAAACAGTAGAACATCATTATGGATCCCTCGTTACACTCCAGTATGATTTCCTCAGCCACTGAATGCATGTCAGTATCAGGAAAAGGAGAAGCAGTTGCCAGCCAGGCAATACAGATCCCTGTCTGGATGAGGCAGCAGGAAAGAAGGAGTGTGTTGGCCAGTCCCTTCCCCATCCACTTCCTCATTCTGCATCCTGGTTTGGTGGCTCTGAAGGCCAAGACCACCATGACTGTCTTTGTCAGCACGCAGGAAACAGCCACAGAGAAGATGATGCCAAAAGCGGTTTGTCGGAGGAGGCACGTCACCCTCTGTGGCTGGCCGATGAAGAGCGGTGCGCACAGGAAGCAGAGCAGCAGGGAGGTGAGGAGAGAGTAGGTGAGGTGCCGGTTGTTGGCCTTGACGATGGGTGTCTCGTGATGCTTCAGAAATATTCCGAGCACCAGAGCCGTGATCAAGCAGAAGAGAAGAACAGTACCAGTCAAAATGATGCCCAAAGTTTCTTCATAAGAGAAGAAGTTAATAGGCTTGGGGATACAGACATTCTGGTGCTTGCTTGGATACTTTCCATGTTCACATGAATGACAGTAATGCATGTCTGAGAAAAAATAAATATACACGTGTTCTAATGCATTCTACAGGTCTCACCAACAGGCCACATCATCTGAGATGCATTGTTTTCTAGTCACAGTAGAGAATCCATTAATTGCATTTCATCCACATTTGTAAAATGGTGAGCATTTTTCACTCTGAATATGAAAAAATCTCTGCTATCCATTACAGACCAATTCAAAAATAAATTATCTTCCTGGACCACATTCAGGAGCTGTTTCCAGCATGAAGAGAACCATGCTGTATCATTCGGTCATAAAGCTGTTGCAGGTGAAGAGCCTTTCATGGGAGATGGTGTGGGAGTCCAACTTCAGCACTTACTGGGCTGAATCCAAAGTGATTTCAGAACTAGATTAGCTAAACACTCAGTGCCCTCAACTGGAATGGATGGAAATGTTAATCTATTTGGATTTGGTTTTGAAGTATGAACATGACAAATGCATGTTTAATAAACAGTGATAACATTGAATCGGCTGCTTTGGACAAAGAGGCCATCACAGTCCACGTCCTGGCTGATTCCCCACTGCGACTCACATGCTGGGTCACCAAGGCTCTGACAGGAAATTAAGACCATCACAGCATTGAGCTCTCTGTGGCCCTTCCTGCCATTTGCTATGAAGAAAGCCCACCAGCTCCTAAGTGAGTGAGGTGCCTTTAAACTCCACCCTAGGCTACCATATGGGGATCCCCTCTTTGGGCTGTGGGGTCACTCAGAGCACTGCCCCTGCCAGAAAGGATCCAGCCCAATGTCTCCACTGCTAGAATGATTTGAAATAACTTATCAAAAATGAACAAAATCAAAACCCTCACCCATGACTACCCACCGTAATTCTGAGAATGCCAAAGGAGGTAATACAGAGCACAAAAGTTAAGGAGGTCTGTATGCCTGTCAGAAGCATCCATTTTGTTTGCAGCCATAAGCATGAGAAAACCTGATTGGTTTGGTAAATGAAGGCGAGCACAGAATGCTCTCTTCTTCACTTTGAATCATGCCTTACTGAACTGAGTGGAAATTGTCTCTGAATAAAGCTCCCAGAAGGCTGAAAACAAGATCTTGCTTTGAAAACAGAGAAATGGTATATTAGGCCTCTGATTGCAGAGATGTACTGATTGTGTCCAGAGTTCTTATGTATTTATTATCATGAATTAAGTTCTTGTAGCACCAAAGAATCTGTGCAGTGCTAATAGGCAAGCCCTGAGAGCGTGTGTTTCAGTAGTAGAGGATGATCCACCTATCTCAACTATTAGAATCCAATGCACACACGTCACAAACAACAACTTCCTCCCCCACTATTCAATACCTTCCACCTGACCCCACCTGCCCACATTCAATCACACTTCAATCCCTGAAGAAAGTTCTTTTATATACCTGTTCTTGATTTTATCAAATATATTTTGAATAGATAGACATTTTGATGCCTACCCTTCTTGCTTGAAACCTTTCCTTCGGGACACAGGATGCAGTCATAGCAGCAAAATGGCTCCCCTTCCTTCATCTTCTTCCTAGAACCAGGGTTGCAGCTCTCACTGCACACAGACAGAGGCTGTGCCTAAATCATCAGGGGAGGAAGAGGAGAGGAATTATGAGAATTATTCACTGGAGTTCTTCCAGTTTTGCAATCTTGTTGTAAGTTCCCACCTCTCCAGGAGCTGCTTTTCCATAAATGTGCTCTTTGAGACTTTGGTAAACTTGAAATTATCTGACCATGTCATGGAAGGAAACTGCATGCATGCTTCCCACCTGCTTGCAAAGGGATTGGAAAAATGGAGCACATATCAGTTTTCTCCATCCTATATGAATGGCATGATCAACCTATTTCCTTGTGTATTACCTTTACCTAAGCTCTCCCAAAACCATATTTCAATGTGCTCCCATTATTGACATGTTTTCAGATACTTCGAACAAATAAGCTATGTAGTTTTATGAATTTTTCCACAAAACAAAAAATGTGTATAAGAATATGCTGATATTCTAGTTTACTTTAGAATGGGATTTTTCCAAATGCACTCATAAATCCAGAAATTTGCAAACATTTCTCAAAGAAAACATGTCTTTGTTCTTTTAAAAGAGAAATGTTCACATCATATGCCAGATATGAACTTGCTGTGTAACCTTCCTCCCTCCATTTCAAACATTATCATGTGGAGATGGCATGAAGCCACCCAAAAGTGACTTCCCTTTTTTTCTGGGGAATGGGGACTGTCTGGAAGCACCCTGTGGTGCTTTGTACCTTATCTTTTTAGATGCTTATACATCACCTTTAAGAGTGCTTCTACCTCTCCAAATCTCAGGTACACTTGAAGACTTCTAGTCTAATGGCCATAAAAGGTAAACAGAAACACATTACAGAGTAGACCCTCCTCAAGATTTTTCCTTAGTGTTTTCATCTTTCTTTCTTTTCCTCTCCTTTTTATTTTAGTTTTTTAGCTAAATTATTTCAATTTAGACACGTAGGGCATTTTTGTTTGTATCTTTAGAAAGGAATTTGAAACAGTTTCCTGATGCTCAGCAGTAATCTCTCTGAATGGCAATTAGTCTTTAACAGCTGTAAGGATGTTTGATAGCTTAAGAGACTAAGTTGTATGGATGATGAGAACTGACCTCGACATAATAAAGCTTCTTAATGATGAAAAGGATGACTGTGCCCTTTGTTCTTTCTCAATTTTCCTTCTTTAGTGGAAGGCCGCAGGGAGTATGAGTTAGAGTAGTACATTTTATATACCGTGACTCTTGTTGCTTTTGAACTAATTTGTACTTATTTTAAAAGTTGATTGTACTTCCCAGACAGCTCTGCTCCAAGGCAAAGATATGACAGAGTTGTGGACTGCTCCTTTTGGAGTTTTGAGGAATGGCTTTGATGAAGCAAAGGTTTTTTAAGTTGTGATGCAGAAATAAAATGAGCTGGGAACTATTACTGCCATCTACTGGACTTGGAAAAAAATAGAATTGGGAAGAATAGAAGCAAACGTCTCCTGTTCCTTTGTGGAAGTTGCTGAAAAAGGTCAAGAGAATGTTTCTTCCTGTGAATTTTTAAAACTAATATTCTAAGAGAGACAGAATGTGATTAATAACTATAACTGTGTCAGAGAGCTGACTAATATGCTGATCCTATCTAGCTCTTTTCTCTTGCCTTTTTCCACTAACTCTCCCTCTTTTCTAACCTTTTCTGCTTTAAAGTGTTATGTTAAATTGTGAGCTTATTTTATAGCTATGAAGAAATGTGTGAAGTGAATAGGTGAAGGAGGATGGGGAGAAGGGAGGGTAAACTCAAGAAGGAAAGTCTGATTGTAGACTCATGGAGAAAATGGGAAAACAATTAGCTACCTGTGGATTAGAAGGTATTTTGAAGACTCTGACAGGAAGATTTTTGGACAAGCCTTGTAAATATGCATAATAAATTCAAGAAGAGACCACATTGTGCAGGTTATCTAATCAGAATAACAGAGTTAGAATGAAGATCTTATCAATAAATATTAGTTGAATGAACTCCCCCTCCAAGTGAATGAAAGTTTTCATTTTTTTAAGAACACAAAGGGCTGATATAATATGCATTCAAGAAATTATAAAGAAATAATTGCTCATGTTTTAAATCATAAGAAACAGGGCAAGGGTATGAAATGTTAAATGATACAAAAAAAGAAAGGAGTCATCATTTATATCAATAAGCAAGGCTTAAAATTTGTAAAAGAATTATAAGACTCAGAAGGAAGATTTATTATCTTGAAGATATGACTTCTGAATGGGAGGATAAATACATTGGCAATGATATACACTCCAAATGATGCAAGAGAAAGGTTTTATGAAAATTTGTTTCAATTGATATTGGGTTTCCAAGAAGGAGGCATTTTGATAATTGTTGATATGAATGGAGTCATATACCCTAGCAAGGACAAGTCAAAAAAAGTAAAAGGGAGTAAAATTCCCAAAATGTTTTTCTTAATTTTTTTAAAACATATTTTTCAAATTAATAACTAAACATTTCTGATTAACACAATTAAACAATACATTAATATCAGTGCTACATCCACCAGGACCAACTCTAGTTACTTAGTGTAAAATCATTTATTTGTTCAGGTTGCCCCACTTCCCTTCCAGAACTGCATTGAATCTTGAGATGGGTCACACCCCTTTCCTTTTATTAAAACATATTCAATCAAAGGTGTCCAAATATTTTCAAATTTGTTTTCATTTATCAAACCTTTTTTCCATTAATATCACAAGTTAAATTATCATTAATAGCTATATTCCAGGCTTCTTTATACCAGTCAAATATATGATATTCACCTTTTGTTTTCCAATTCCCTGCTATTATTAATCTTACTGTTGTTAATAAATTTATCCTCAATTCTTTAGTGTATTGTCCCATCTGTTATCTACATAATGACAATAGTGCTCATCCAGTATCAATTTCAATATTTAAATTTAATATTATACCAATTTCTTTAAAGATCCTTCCCCAAAACTCATTTATATATTTACACTTCCACCACCTATGGAAATATGTACCCACTTCTTGGTTGCATCTCTAACACATGTTGGAATATTCATTGTTCCTGTAATTCCATTTAACCAGAGTTAAATACCATTTCCAAAACAATTTATAAAAGTTATCTTTAATTCTTATTATGTAAATTTTAAAATCCTCTTATTCCACATGTTATTTCATTCATCAGCACTAATATTTCTTTTTAAATCTATTTCCCAGGATTCAATAAGAGGATCATAGTGATCATCCTCTTCTAGTAATACATTGTACATTTTACTTATCATTCCTCTCATCAACATACTGTCATGTTTTTCTTTCTGTCAAATTAATTCTTCAAATTTTGTATATTCTATGCATTTACCATTTTTCTTCAACCAATTCTTAGTCTAGTTGTCTAATTCAAGTATATTAAACCAATTTATTTTACACTATCCCAGTATTGCCTGTATCTTTTCATTACTCTTCATTTTCTCTAGCCAATCTTTCAACCTAATAACATAGTTACTCTTCAGTACTTCCTTCAAATTACTCCTCAGATTTACTGGGAAACTTTCTAATTCCCTATAACAGTTAAATCAATGGGATAAACACATCCCTATATTTTTTCCAAATTTTAACCATATTCTTAAAAAAGTGTTTCCTATCTTTTTAATAACATTCTTACTTTCTTGTTGAAGAAAAATATTTAATAAGGATCCCTCTACATCTTGATATTCTAATTTACCCATATTCTCTTATCCGTTTGCAGTATATCTGGTATATGCCTCATTTGATTAGCTACATAATAAAATTTCACATTGGGAATGCCTAAAACCCCTGTTCTCCTAGACATATACCATCTTATTAATGCCCTTTATCGCCGCTTTTATTTATTCTTGTAATGAACATCTTCGTAAAAAAGAGAAGTCAAGATTCAAAAATTGAAGACTTAAAAGCAGATGGAGAAGAATATAAAATGAAATGTTGACTTTCTTCAGGATATGAGATTAATAAGAAGAAAATGTAAATTATATTAATGGTTGGAAGAAATAGGAACAGGAAAGTATAAAAAAGATTTGAGGATACAAAATACCTTAAAATTCAGTCAAATGGTTAGGGTTGTAACAGGGCATAAAGATACATGATTTCAAGACAATTATCAAACAACATGGATGAAAATTCAGAAAGGAACTAATTAAAAGTATCGTAGCTGGGAAGAATTTCCATTGTAAAAATGAGTGTACTACCCAAATTGCAATTTCTATTTCAGATGATGCCAAATTCTATACTGGGAAAAATTTCCAAGATTGGCAAAGACAACTGAATATTTTTATCTGAAATAGCAAAAAGCCAAGGATCAGATTCAAAATTCTTCAAGATGAAAAGAAGAGAGGATGTCTCACAGTATTATTTAAAGCTGTATTATTATGCAGCTGGCATGGTTTGGATTTCAGATTGGGCTATAAAAGTTAATGATAGGCTAGTGAAGTTAGAAATAGCAGATGTTGGAGAAGGAATGCACAATAACTTATGCGCCAAAAAGTCAGTTAAACAGGCCTTGATCTCAAATAATAATCATGTATGAAGAGAGGGCCTAAAAAAATATTAATATTTTGGAAGAAAAGGAATCAGTCCTCCAAACTCTTTTGATGTCCCTGCTTGAAGCATGTGGGAAAAAACTTGAGGAAAAATGATGACTTAATAACCAAGAGGAGAGGACTGAGTTAAATCTTGGCAACAGCTAAATATGGTGGCCCTGTGGGCATGCTGAATATATCCCCATGGCCTTGAGAACACCCCCATCCTGCTCAATGGCTGCTGTGGCAAAACCAATGGGGCAAATTCCATAGGTGGTACTAAATGGCCAAATCCAGCTTCAGTATAAGATACAAGCACCTTTGATAGCACATTAAGAGAATTTAATTATCAGGATGCTCTCAAAGCAAAAAGTCAATATTACTGTAAGGTTTGTAGAAGTGGTGGTGCTCATGGAGGAAGGTTGTTGTAATCCGTCTGTTTCCATTTCTCTAATACCTGAATATTTGAAATCTTATCCATTCCATCTCAGATTTGAAGAAATTAGAAACTTGAAGAAACTGCAGCAAATTCTTAGCAAAAAAAAAAAAAGACTGAAATGAAATTGTCACTTATCTCTCCTCGCCAAAAATAAAAGGAGCATGGAATCACAGCTTCCTGATATATTGATATTAAAGGTTAGAAGCTGGCAGAGAAATAAGAGATGGAAACCTTAACTGAGACCTAGCTGGTCCTTTACACAGGGATTCAGATTTGGACATTTGAGATGTATGCACCAAGATCACTTCACCAGGAAGCACAGGACTGACAGTTTCCATTTCTTCCACATTCAGATTATTCTAATTGTAGCTTCTTTCCATCACAAATACAAAGACACTTGCTACTTTTGATAAAACATTATAGGAAATGAAACAAACAAAGAAGCAAAAAATTCACCCCTGCCCATGTTGGAGAAACATAACATACAGACAAGAGAAAACTGAGCATGCTACATTTTCACTAGGGAGGAAGTGCACGTGGACTCATTCAATGCGTCACATTTTGTGCTCTCCAGTTCCACTTAAGTGTTTTCTAGGTCCATCATTGTTATGGAAAATGTACTTGCCATACTGAGACTGAGTCTTATTCAAAAGTACAGATTATGCCACTCTGCCAAGAACCAAACCTGATTGAACCAGCTGTTCCATGTTATGTCATCTGGACTGATGGTGAATGCTTGTCCTGGAGCAGACTTGGCATCCATCCTCCCAACTTTCACTCTTTGAAAAGATTGGTTTGAGGACACGATCCAATTGATCACATCGAATCCAGTGACTAACTCTCCATTCTCATTAAAACAAACCTTGTCCCCAGCACTGTTGTTAAATGAAACCACCTTCAGAAAATGATGGAGCTGGAATGAAAAGGAAGATTAGAAAAACTGTGAATGGAATCATACAGACAAGGTGAGAGAAATACTTGCACTGGATGCCTGCCATTATGCTTATTCTTTCATCTTGTTCCCCTTAGACTATAAAGACCAAGTTTAAACTAGACACTTTCAATACAAAGATTAAATTGGTTTGGAGGTTTGAGTGGATTTTCAAGCCATTCTAGGAATGCAGTTAATGTGAGGGAGAATATATCTAATATTCTTGCACACACACACATAGACCTTGCTGTTTGTTGTAAAAAGAGACTTGATCCTCTAGTTCAAATATGAAGTGTATGAGTTTCCCTATTTTGTATGTGTTTATTTAAGCTGTGGTTCTCTCCCAGATGAGGCTACACAGCCCATTACCTGCCACTGTAGATGGGTTTGAAAGTTCATCCCACCTCTGGTCACCATTCCTCTGTGCTTCAGACCAGAAGAAGACAAGGCATGCAAACTGTGGGCCACCGCATGGACAGCATTGTAGACATTGTAGCTGTGGCCGGTCAAATGCATTTCAAAAAATGTTGCAGGAAGATGCTCCAGCTGCTCCTCCCCAGTGCAGATATTCCCACCTAAATTGCCCAGAAATCGATTTGCAAATACACAGTTGAAAGCATTTTGCCAGAACGACCTAATAAAACCATCTCCTTTTGGATTAGAAGGGTTTTTTTCATTAAGGAATTGTTCAAATCCAGGGACATTGTTGGATTGAATTCTGAAAGATAGAACACCATGCAAAAAGTCTATGTCCCAATTCCTTTGATAGACAAATGATGTGAGCTCCACCTGAGCTGTTGTAATCATTACCTTACCAACTGGTGCATTTGTCACATGTTCTTGTTCTGATAGATATGGTAGCCATCTAAAAAATGCCATGGAATACGATTCTCCATTGGCCACCAATACGTTGGCTGTACTGTCCACAATATTATCACGAATTTTTGCCCCCTTCTCAAAAAGGTTTTTAAGATCCCTGCCAAAAGTAGGTTCAGGGATTTTTTCGTTGAAATCAAAACAGACACCACTCTTGGCAAACAGTGGGACCACCATTTGGAGGAATCGCTCCCCATTCTCATTATCCGTAACGACTGTCCCAATCCATGTCCACCCAAAATGGAGCAACAAAGACAGGATCCCTGCATACTGGAGGGACTCCCTCGGAGTCATGTTGTAGAAGGAAAGGCCTGGGGTTTTATCATTCATCACTGGTGCAGAGCCATATATCAGCTAAGGGGATATAAGAAGGAGAAGGATAAAGGTCAAATAATGAGATATTATGTAGGCAGCTTTGATGTTTTGAAAATATTTGCATATATAACCTCAGGAATTTTCTCAACAATACTATAGTACTGGGATAACCCAAGATGTCATGGCACGTGTGGACATCTTCATGAGGGCCTGAAAATGGGTCTCCAATATGGCACCCTGAGAATTCATACAATTTCTTGCTACTATATGTGTGAGTGTGTCAAAGTGTCTCCATAGACTTGTATGACAAGCACACGAATTCCAAGCAATAATCCTGGGCCCCAACAGAGTGAACCAAATATGCAAACAAGTATACTTTGGAGGTCTTCAATTGTTACCTACTAGATGAGTGTTCCCTCATCCCTATCCATTCCTAGGATCCATCTTTTAGCCATGAAGAGGACACTGAGAAGCCACTTTATCCATATGTCAATTTCCATGAAATAATTCAATAACTGAATGAAGGGAATGTTCCAATGAATATATTCAGTGCGAGATCTGCCTGTGTCATAATATCCCCCAGCACACAAAAAGCAGCTACTAGAAGTTGCCAATGCCAGTGTTTTGAAGAATTACTCCCTGCATTGCAGCATGAGCAATCTCAGTAATAATTGAGGAGACATTGCAGCATCCAACAGACACAAAAAAGCAATTTGTACTGAATAAGGCTCAGATTAAGATCTGGAGACAAGATGGGGAGATATCAAAAGAGAGATCAACTCATTCACATCCTTTTTCTCAAATTCCAAAATATGTCCAAGGATTCAAACAAGTTTGGGAGCCACTGCTGGTGGTGAATGCAAAGAGACAAAGAAATGGAGGGCTCTGTCCTTCCTCACTCTGCCTAGGGATGGTTGGAGCAAGTAGCAAGCAAAATGAAGAGCATAAGTGGAAATAGAAAATGGATCAAGTTGTTGAATCATCGGGATGGTGGCCAGTGACAAGCAGGGTCCCCCAGGGCTCTGTCCTGGGGCCAATCATGTTTATCTTTTCATTAACAACGTGGAAGAAGGGGTGAACAGTCTGCTGATCAAATTCATAGATGATACTAAAACTGGAGGAGTGGCCACAACCGAGGAGCAGGTACTCCAGATCCAAAAAGAACTGGACAGACTATGAAAGTGGGCAGGAGACAACAGGATGGTGTTCAATGTGGATAAATGCAAGGTCTTGCACTTGGGGCATAGAAATAGGTGTCATAAGTACAGGTTAGGGGACAAGTGGCTGGAGAGCAGCACTTGTGAAAGGGACCTTGGGGTGCTGGTTGACTGCAGGCTAAACATGAGTCAGCAGTGTGATGTGGTAGTCAAGAGGGCAAACACAACCCTTAGTTGCATAGCCAGAAGTGTGGCTTCTAGATCAAGAGAGGTATTACTACCACTCTGTATGACTCTGGTGTACCCACAACTGGAGTATTGTGTTCAGTTTTGGGCCCCTCATTATAGAAAGGATATAGCCAGGTTAGAGTTAGTGCAGTGTAGGGCCACAAGGTTGGTGGTCGGTTTGCAGGGGATGGGGTATGAGGCGAGACTGAGGGAACTGGTCTCTTCAGCCTGGAGAAGAGGAGACTCAGAGGGGATATGTTGGCGACATACAGGTGTGTGAGAGCATGTCACATGGAGATGGGTAGAGATCTGTTCTCCCCCGCAGAGGAAGGCAGGACGCACTCCAACTGAGCAAAGCTCAGGGAACCAAGGTTCCACTTAGATGCCAGGAAGCACTTCCTGACAGTCAGGACCCCAAGGGTGTGGAATGGGCTTCCACAAGAGGTCATTGATGCCCCATCGGTGCGGGTGTTCAAAGATAGGCTGGACATGCACATGGTGGGCATGTGGTGAGTGGAGCTGGCTGGAGCCAGGGGTCAGACTAGATGGCCCGGGAGACCCCTTCTGACTTGCTCTGATTCTATGTTTCTATATTAATGTGAATGTACTCTGAGTCTCTGCCCAGACCCTCCTGTCTCAGATCCATGTCCACACAAAGAAACAGTCTCAGAGGAAATTCCCATCTCCTGATATAGTTTGCTTCACCTTCAATATTCTTGCTCATCCAAAGGAGCCGTAGAATATGATTACTCCAGTGTACATCTCTCCATCGCCAAAGCACAAATGCACCCATGAAAGAACAAAGTGAATGTGAAGAAAATGTTACACTCCCACTCCCCATGTTCATGGAAAGACACGCTCCCACCTGTGGAATCTTGTAGATATCCAAGAGAGTTGCAACGTGAAGGGAGATCTGGGGGTCCAGTCCCCCAATGACTGCTGCCAAGTGTTGCTGGATGCCACATTGGTAGTTAGGGACCAATCTCCCTGCTGCCCCTATAAGTCGCAAGGTGGCCTGATATGTCCACTTGGCCATGAAATAGCTGTCATAGATACGGAAGCCCAAGGTGAGGTTGGGCAGGATGTGAGGGTTGTCGTTGATCTCCTGCACTGCAAATGTCAAGGCCAGGATATGCTGGTAATTCTTGGGCACAACACTGGAAGCAACAAAGTCTCCTCCTGCATGAGAACATGCTTTACACAGTATCTTGTGAGACATTCACACTGCTTTTTGCATCATCATCATCATCATCAATATCATCATCTCGACTTCATGGCCTACCTTGGCCAACACAAAGCTAACTAAGCAATTGGTGTGCATTCATGTCAATTCAGATAGAAATCTCCAGAATTCACTGAAGCTTCCTCCCAAATGAAATGTGTCAAAACACAATGTCAAGATCCCACCACCTCCATGGTACAGCCTTATCACCTTGCCAAGGAAGAGCCTTCTGAGTATCCTGTGCAAGGTGTGAGGCACAATGCTAGAGGAATGCCCTGCAATTTAACTAGATGGACATGTTCAGCCATTGGCATGTATGGAATTGGAATACACATCTGATGTAACTATAGCCACACGTAGGAGGAACATCTTTTTGGTATATGAAAACAGTTAAAATGATTATGGTGGGGCCAAGCACACAGTATAGAGTACACTACACTAAACGGAATCCCTTTTCATTGAAAAAGGGACATGCAATGCGTTTTTTTCTGACTTTAACAGAGAACATTTTCTTGGAATAGATCCTCTACCAGCCTTTCCTAAAAACAAGGAATGGGATTTCCAGGACATGAAGGGCTTCACACATGGGACAATCTCTTCATCAGATTTTGGGGTTCCCCCTCTATTGATCTTGCCACAGATCAGCACGTTCAGTAGGGTGCCTGGAGGGGCTGCTTTAGGAAGGAAGGGAACGAGAAGTCTACTTCCCCAGAAGAGTAGATCCAATCCTATGCATACTGGCATTATGCAGTTTCCATAACGGTAGGTGGAAGAAAGCGAGAGATGTGAATGAGCAGATGCATTAAGAAAGGCATAAGGGGAAGAGAAATCCTGGAGAAACTTTTATAATACAGAAGTTATTGGAGGAATTCATGGAATATGCAAGGTCACCAGCGAGGTTTCAAGGAGAAGTAAAATATTTGTGAAGAAGCTTAAAAGCATACCCAAATGTTTTGTACCCATATTCTGTTCATGCAAATAACAAATTTTCCACATCCCTTTCATAATATGAATTTCCTCTACTGCCTAAGCCATTGTTCACAGGCTGCATCTTCTACAGCAAGTTCTGCTGGCAATCAGATATACAAACAAACTACTCTAAGCAAATACAAAATATTAACTCCTTACATAAGTTCATCCAGTGATGCTAGTGGGGGTTCTTTGGTGAATGTTAAAGTATCAGGAATGATGAATGACAGAGAAGCAATGGCACCAATCATGACATCTCCCAGCTGTGGGTACTCATGAAGTGGAGGGTGTGGCTCATGGTTCTTGCACTTTTCAACATCAGCCTTGCTTCCTATTTGGAGAAGTAAGTATAGCAACACCACTCCCAATTCCCCCATGTTGAGTAGAAGGCAATATTTTGCTCTTCATCCAAATCCACTCATTCCTACTTAAAGCACTAAGATCACAATTGTAGGCTCCCTCAGAGTGCAGTGTCTCTCGTTATTTTATCCCTATGATCAAGGATTGCTGTATATATTGGCACCGTCCTTCCCAGCCTAGTATTGTTGCTTTGTTCATTAGAAATCTGCAGGGATGTTGAGTATTAACAGAACTGCCTTTTAGAAAATTAAGGGAGAATATAGCAATTTGACCACAGGTACAAAGAAGTTGAAAACAGGTGTTGTTTTTCGCACATGATGATGAACACAATCTTTGTATTAGTTTTATGCATGAATTGGGAAGAAGTTATTGGAAGGGAACACAGAACTATGAGGCCACACACAGCAGTCATTATGAATCACATGGGAGATTATGGTTTTGCCTTGGACTCAGTGTACACATCGATTTGGATTGGGACCACAGTGTATGATCAAGGACAAGATTTCCTTTCTCTGCAGCTATTTGCTTTGCAATATTTTCACTCCCACTGCCAGTAGAAAATTTCCACTCACATTAAATTCCTGGAGGCACATTAAGAACTGTTTGCAAGGAGATCAAACTAGTCAGTCTTAGAGGAGATCAAGCCTGACTGCTGTTTAGAAGGCCAGATACCGAAAATGAAACTCAAATACTTTGGCCACCTAATGAGAAGGAAGGACTCCCTGGAGAAGAGCCTGATGCTGGGAACAATAGATGGCAAAAGAAGAAGGGGATGGCAGAGGATGGGGTGGCTGGATGGAGTCACTGAAGCAGTTGGTGTGAGCTTAGGTTGACTCAGGGGGATGGTGGAGGATAGGAAGTCCTGGAAGAATGTTGTCCATGGGGTCGCGATCAGTCAGACATAGTGTAGCGTAGCGTAGCATAGCATATGGGAGGGGATCGGTTGGACATAGCATAGCACAGCATATGGGAGAGGAATTTTATTCTCCTTCTCCTTCTGTTCTATGGTGCCAGTGTCAACAGACTGGTGAAAAGAACTTTAC